TACATTATCAGGTACAAAAAAAAGTTTAAAATAGTAGATGTTATTTTTGATTCTCACAGCCAGCTGTTTCAAGTGCCAATTACTTTGTGTGCAGGTTCTTATTTAAACAAAAAATCTATTCAATTGTAATTAATTTAATTAAAAAAGTAATTAGCTCTGCACCTCAATACTTACAATTGAAAAGGCAAGACGGCCTCTTCCATCATACCATTTATATTCTGCAGGTATTGGAAATATCTTACGTAGTAGATGATTTATAAATCATCCACCCAGCCACATGCTAGGTGAATGCCGCTCGTACGGCAAGCCTGCCAGTAGATGGAGCTGAGGAGCAGAGGAAATTCCAAAGTTACACAGCTCCGTCTAGTGGCAGGATTCATAGATCATCCCCCTATTTGTCTAAATCCATTTCCGACTCCAGTACACCTGAGGTCTTTCTGACATAAATTTCCTGAGCTTTAAAGGAGAACTATGAGATGAGTGCTTTTCACTCACCACATAGTTCTAGCCGACCTGTGACAATGAGACTGTCACAGGTCGGCTCAGTAGATACACAAACTAGCGTCCTCCCATCACCCTAGGCTCAGTATACCGCAAGCTGTAGCTCACGGTATACTGAGACGCCGCAGTATACCGCGAGCTGCTGCCAGTCAGTGGTGAATAAATACCACCAAAAGAAAGCTCTATCTGTCCCCAAAAAAGGGTATAAAATTAATTTCAGTACAGCGCTGCATGACGGAATAAATGTCAGTCAAAGTACTGCAGCCCTGAATACTGAAAAATGGCCTGGATGGGAAGGGGGTTTAACACCGCGGATGTCAACTGGTTAATGAGCAATAACCACTATTTCAGTGCAGTAGAAACACATGGGAGTGTATTTGTAAAATGTTTGCAGAGTTTATAGATCCCCACTGTGGCTTTGCTTATTTGGCCGCAGGGATAGCCTCTTGCCCCAGGTGTCACAGTGAGACTGGCACCATGCTCCATATGTTTGATGTTGTTCCAAGCTTTTTAGGCATTTTAGGAGGGACTCCATGTAAAAAAAAAACAACAACAAAAAGTGTGTGGGGTTCCCCCTTAAAGTCATTCCAGGCCCTCAAGGTCTGATAGGAATTGTAAAGAGGAACATCACCCCCAAGAACAGAACCCACTGTCACTCTATATAGTGGATGCACCATGGTTATGTGGTCACGTTCATATCATACTCTCCCTGTTTTCCCTCCCTTTTTGGACAACCCTTCATGATGTTTTGGTTCTTGCATTTCTCTTTTTGTTTATGTGTGTTTTTGTTTGTAATAAATTTGTCTGATTAAAATATTTGGATAACCCATCCACAGCAATGATGTAAAAAGTTATGCAGGAATAAAATAATAATCATATACGATACATATGAACAAATATACAATGACAATATTACACAGGCTTGTTTAAGGCTGAGTTCACACCTGGGCGTTTTTCAGCGCTGATCGAAGCGCTGAAAAACACTCAGCAAGTGAAATCCCATACTTTCCTATGGGCATGGTTCCCACCTCGGCGTATTTCAGCCCCTGGAAACACGCTGAAAAACGCCCTACGCCTAAACAAGTACAGGAGCTTCTATTGAGCGTTTTTCCGCGCGTATCCATTGGTATTCCCGAGTGTGGCTCGGGGTTAACAAAGCGGTAACCCCAAGCCACATCCGGGAATACAGCGTAGGACCTACCTTGTGCACGATCCCCGCTGTGTCCTCCGGCCGCTGCCGACTTCTGGGTTCCGTCCCTTGCGAGCGGCCGCGTCGCACAGGGGCGGAACCGGCGGGACGTTTGAAAGTTTAAAAAAAAAAAAACCCTGAAAAAAAGATAGAGAAAATAAAGGAACATTTTTTAAAAAATCATACCGCCAGGGAGGTATAAAAACGAGCGTCGAACGCACGTTTCACTGAACGAAAAAACTTGCTAAAAAATGCGCCTATGGTACGCCCAGGAGTGAACCCAGCCTAAAGGAGAATTATGAGGTGAGTGATTTTCATTCAGCCTAACACATACCGTCGCTCGCTCACTTCTAGATCATGTCCCTGTAGAGAGCTGTGACTGTCACTCACGGCTCCCTGCAGGGATTCCCCCCTCCCCTGTCCGATCCTCCAGCGTTGACTGGAGGAACGGACAGGGGAGGGGGACAGTACAGCTGGCTCTGCCTCTAGATAGGCAGAGCCAGCTGTCAATCACGAAGCTGGGTGGATCTCAACAGTAATGTCGCGATCCGTCCTGGCTGTGGCGGTCTCAGTATACCGCGAGCTGTACCTCGCGATATACTGAGGTTTGGGTGACGGGAGAACACTAGTATATGTCCTCCCGTAACCCTGAGGAGAACTATGGGGAAAAACACTTACCCCATAGTTCTCCTTTAGGGCCTGTTCACACAACGTCCGTTTTCTGTGCTGACCTGATCTGTACGCTCCTGCACTAAAAATGCATCCCAATGTATCCCTATGTGTTTTATGGGCTACATTCTCACGTGCGCAGTCCGTTCAGCTTACGACAGAAAAAATACTGCATGTCACATTTTGTACGGTCAGGGAAAGGTCCGGAAACGCAAAGCGCGTCAAAAACGCGTCAAAAACGCACTGCACTGCAGCTAACATACTGACAGCCCCACTCCAGCAACTGGAATGCATCAAGAACGCGGCCAAAACTCACTGCATCAGTCTGCAGATCCGCATCTGATCAGGACCTTCTATCATGTGAACAGGCCCTTAAGGGGAAATGTTCATAGAAATGTGCAAAGCTCCTCGCAATGCACAGATGGGTTCTCATCCTGAGGACAGACCAAATTTGTGTTGCAGACATCCCAACTCTCCCGGAGCGTATTAGATAGCGGCCTCCGGCCGCCCGGGAGAGAAACACTTCCTCCCGGAAAGGTTTAATCTGCTCGATCGAGCAGATTAAACCTTTCCCTGCAATGGTTTTTTTGTTCCTTTTCTGACATTGGGAGCCGCGAATGCATAGCTAGATTCCTATTGGCTATTGCACTTTGCAATAGCCAATAACAAACTAGCTAATGCACCTGCCCACTGCTGCTGTCAATCAGCAGAGGAGGACCTGAATTTTTCTATCAAGTCCTCTTCTGGTGATTGAAAGCAGCAGGGGGCGGGTGCAATAGCTAGTTTGCTATTGGCTATTGCAAAGTGAAATAGCCAATAGGAATCTAGCTATGCATTCTTATGCCTTTTTTTTCTGGCATAATTTCAGGGGGGTGCTCTCTCCCAGCCCCCCCTAACCCCCCCTCCGCGGATGGGGGGAGAGGGCACCTCCCTGAAATGAGAGGGACACCTCCCTGAAATTGCTTCTTTCAGGTTGGGATCCCTGGGGTTGCTCTAATATATTATAATCAATTCACAACGCTACCACACCAGAATAGGGATTCCTGCTATTCATAAAATAAAAAATGACAGTTACTTTCAGCGGAGTCCAATGCAATCTAAATTCATAGGCATGTGGCTAAAAAATAGCTAGCATTCCCAGGGGTGTCCCGAGGCCGGGTGTCACCTGGAGACGAGACCAGGTGACACCCTGCTGCGCGAGATGACATCATCACGCATGTGCGGCCATCCAATTGACACCTGCTGGCATCCATCTTGGTGATGGACGCCGACAGAGAGAGGAGGGGACGTTCATCCGGCGGGATGAGGTATGCCCCCGGGTCCCCTCCTCTCACCTGATACTGTCGGGCTCTCGGTCCATGGCCGCGTGCCTGACTTTTTTAGAGGGGGTGACACCAAAATGACTGCCAGTCATTTTGGTGTCACCGCTCCAATCGTGTCACCCGGGTGCGGCCTGTGACGCCACTGAGCATTCCAGGCCAGAGAAAAAACGACAAACAGTATTTTAGTCTGGACCAGAACGGACTGCACGGGTGTGAACAGAGCCCAGAAATATCATAGGGACACATCGGGATGCTTTTTTGCTCCGGGAACAAACGGTTCTGGTCTGGACATGATCCGGACATGATGTGAACGAGCCCTCCAGGCTCCATTCACATATGGCGTTTGCGTTTTCTGCACGGCATGAAAAACGCACAAATTTGAACTTACACGCAAATTCCCACGTTTGAGGCTATAGTAATAGCCGCAAATGCGCGGAATCCGTCCAAGAAATCGTGCTCAGACTTTTTTGCGGGACGCATGTTTTCGTACTGCATGGACGCTGCCCTAATGTGAACAATGCACATTGGAATGCATTGTTTCCTATGTTTAGTGCTTATCCACATATGAAAACGTGCGGAAAACTGCTAATGTGTGAATGGAGTGTAAGTCAGAAAGGGAAATTTAAAAAAACATATCTGCTGGGCATCAGATGGATAGAGAGGAGGATGAGAGAGCGAGGAATAAGGAACATATGAAACCGTTTTACTGGTACCCTAGACCAGGGGGAGACAACCTTGGCCCTTCAGCTGTTGTGGAACTACAACTCCCATGAGGCATTGCAAGACTCTGACCGCCACAGGCATGACTCCTAGAGCCAAAAGCATGATGGGATTTGAAGTGTTATCAGAGCTGGAGTGCTGAAGTTTCCTATCTCTAGTCTAGACAAAATAAATAATTAAAACCCACACATCAAAGAGTTGTGTGGGTCTATATTTGTCTGGGAAAAAAAGAAAAGCCGGCCTTAAAAAGTTTTTCATTCCCACAACAAGGAAACGTCAATTGACTGGACAGGAATCCCTGACTTTTATTCCACATATTACTATTCTGTTCCACATATTAGATTCTTATATGTGCAGCAGAGATACAGAGCAGAAAGAGCGACATACAATCTGCTCTGTTCACTGGTATTAGAGCAGAGACAGAAAATGTGACATGTTAGCCTGGCCTGCGCTGTCAGCAATAATATGTCGTGCCTTCTACATTTTCAAAGCGTCGGCCATATTCTTGGAGAGCGATTCGTATAGTTGTCTATGAAAGGCGGCTCAGAAAAAATGGCCGAGCATTGGAGACCATATGACAAGTTCTCATTCCGCCTCTGGCAGCAGGTTTCCGGCACTTGCAGTCATTTCCTTCCGTGCTCTGTGTGTGCTGGCATCCTGTAGACATGGCGGCGTACGGAGGTCAGGATTTCATGTGTATTGTACTATTGACATTAATAGGGGAAATGATTTTAGGAGGGGGGAAGAGCCTGTCTGTAGACCTGCTGCTGAACTATAAGCGCCTGTTGGAGTGTCACGTGGTGCATTGCTTTCTATAGCCAGGGTATATGTTAATGAGGTTTATGATGCATATGGACCATGGGATCATATTCATTCTGTATAATGTTTACCTGCCACACTCAGACATTATTGGGGTGATTGAATATAGCATTTGGGACACTTTTCTGGTGTGAGGGCCTGTACACACCAGGGCCATGCGTTAATTGCACAGTACTGTGCAATGCACTTACTGTGTGTTACAGAAAAGCAGATGCGCTGTGGTGCCATTCATTTCAATGGCACCCTAAACGCACCTCCTGGCTGCAATGCATGGTACCGCAATACCATTCATTGAGAAAGTAGTGCATTGAAATGGATAGCATTGCAATGCACTGAACGCATGGTAGGCACACTGTGCATTCATCGCCCGGCCCTGGTATGAACGGGCCCTTAATGCTGTTTATCTGCATTTTTACTGGCCACCTAAAATTGAATATAGTGGCCTCTTACGCTTGTGCACATGCGGCAGTGATGCAAATTTTAAACAGCAAGTCGTGTTTTGCAGGCAGTGCAATCCATAGGACCGTGCAGCAAACGCATGCTGCAGTATTGCAAAAGAAAATCCCTATTGGGAATTTAAAAAAAAGAACCAGCATTTATGGTGTGCCTCCTGCATGCTGGGCAGCTGCTCCTGTGTCACCCCCTGAAAAATGCACCGTAGATTACTTTTCAGAGGGTGGGTTGGAGCCTGTCGTCCGTCCATTTCAGAAGCATATTCTTGGGATATGTGATGGAAGGAGACGGGAATACCTTCTGTTCTAATAAATCTTTACTCTACGCTATAAATGTAATTCTAATCTGACTCCATACTGGTTACTGTTTATAATAAACTGTCTTCTGTTTGCAGAGATGGGTGTGATGACGGAGATTGCTCAGGCTGTGGAGGAGATGGACTGGCTGTAAGTTGCCAAGTATACAGAATATTGACATTGATGTGCTCACTGGCGTTGGTCTGGATGATCTGACCTGCCTTAACCACTTGACGTCCGCGGTGTTTACACCCCCTTCCTGTCCCGGCCATTTTTCAGTATTCAGCGCTGCGCTACTTTGACTGACATTTATTCCGTCATGCAACGCTGTACTGAAATACATTTTATACAATTTTTTGGGGGAAGATAGAGCTTTCTTTTGGTGATATGTAATCACCACTGGGGGTTTTATTTTTTTACTATATTTCGGAAAAATTACTGAGAATTTTGAAAAAAATAAGTATTTTTTAAATTGTTAGGAAAGAATGATTATTACCCAATTATTTTGGTAAAATATAACAGACAGGGCCGCGTCGGGTAAATTGACACCAAACATCTGCTTCATCAGCTTCTCTCCAGCGTCTGAAGCTGGAGAGTGACACGAGAATGCGGAAGTGATGTAATATACACCACTTCCGCATTCTGACAGCGCAGAGGGGACCGGAGGGAGATTGTGTACCGACCTCCCTCTGATCCCCTGTCTGAGAGGCACTCTGCTGGTCACCGGCTTGCACCGGGACCAGCGTGACAACGGGAGGGGGGACACGGGCCGGCGGCTTATACAAGCGATCCGCCGGCTCTAAAGCCGGCAGATCGTTTCTATGTTAACAGGCATCGCTGCCTGTTTTGAAATGTTGTGTCTTTCCCGCTCGCGCGTGCCTGAGTGGGCGGGGGCTAACAGGCCGTATATACACACACGGCCTGTTACATCCAGGAAGCGGTTAAAGGAATCGCTCTCCTTCTCTGCCTTTTAACTTTTCTTTTCCCTGTATGTATTGAAATATTACAACAGGTTATGGCTGACTTGTTTTCAAAGGTGCACGCTTTTTAGGATTTGTTCATCTCTCGCTCTCTCTCTCTTTCTCTCTCTCTGCTGCTTAAAGTGACGCTAAACTCAGGAGTTAAACCTTAAAAATGCATTCAAGTACCTTTTAACAAAAATGTATCTTATTTGTGTATCACTCGGCTGTAGATCCTCAAATCATCTCTGAATTGGTGCTGACACTGTCCTTCCTTCTGAAGGGTGGCTACTTTTTTTGTTCCCTATGGTCCCTGTGTGTGTTATTAAGTAGTCACCACTCCAAGCTCGCTCCTGTGATGGACTACAATCTCATGTTTAGTTTACTAATTTGTATTGAGATTGTAGTCCATCACGGGAGTGAGCTTGGAGTGGTGACTACTTTACAACACACAGGGACCATGGGGAACACAAGTATCCCCCCTCCAGAAGGAAGGACAGTGTCGGCACCAATTCAGAGATGATTGGAGGACCTACAGCCGAGTGATACACAAATAAGATACATTTTTCTTCATAGTTAAGGTACTTGAATGCATTTTTACGATTTAAAGGGTTATTAAGCCCTCACTTTTTTGCATATATCTACTTCTAGCAAGCAGTAGATATGTGCAAAAACTTTTTTTAAATGTCCCATCTGAACATCTGAAAATTTCTCGGGCGGCCACATAGGATCTTGAGGCAGGCGGATGAGCAGTTCAGATGTTTGGCCAGGAGATGAGAGACACAAGGTAAGTCTATGGAGCAGCGTGCACCCGCACAGACAACGTGGGACATGAGCGAAGAGGAGGACAGAGGAGTCAGTGCTGGATCGGAGACCCACAGCAGCGCTGGAGGGACAACAATCAGGAAGAAGATCGGATTAAGAAGCATTGGGTACAAAAAATGAAAAAAAGGCCTCAGCCATGAAGGGGTTAAGGCAAGTCCTTACACTAACATTGGGGGGAGGGAAAAAAATACTTTAATGTCACTTTAACTCCTGATTTTAGTGTCACGTTAATAGTTTTATAACCTCGATATCTGTTCCTGGAGAATAGAGGGCTCGACCAGTCAATGCTCCACAGAATTTTAGCTCTTAAAATGTCTTTTCTGTTTTTACACACCGGCTGCATTGGGACCGAGTTATAGTTTTATAAAAAGCAGATTGAAGGTGAAATGGAAACTGGTGCTGTTCTATTCTTGTTATAACACTTCTTTTGTTTTCTTGTGCAGCCTTCCTACTGACATCCAGGCCGAGTCTATTCCACTGATTCTGGGCGGAGGTGATGTACTTATGGTAAGGACTTATGTCTCATAAGACAGAACCTGACCAGTGATGTAGGTTGGGTAGCTTAACATTTTGGGGCTTTGATATTTTAGCTTTAGTTTTTGTTGTGAAATCTCCCTCTCTTTTTATTGGTTGAATGTCAGCATAAGTTAAGGGCCTGTTTACACCAGCGGGCACACATTATGGTGCCTATAATATGCCCGCTGGTGTTCGTCCACTCTGTGATACTTGGTAACAAGGTATTGCAGTGTTTAAATTTTTTCCTTTTTTTTTTTTTTAACTTTATTTGAAGTTATAAAAATCTAATATTATATTTCCAATTTCAAATCCACGTAGAACAACACTTTGTGACACACGGCTGTGCGCTATAATGTTTCCCAGATTATACTTGTTTCTGGGTTTTCTGGATTATTCTGCATTGCACCAAAGTCAGATTCAGGTACATGATGGTATGGAAGATTGTACTTGAAAGTACTTTTTTTTTTTCCCAACATGACCGCTTCTGAAGACTTCACTTCTAATTCCTTTTTGGGGCCTGATGCTCCATCCAGAGGCACATCAGGAATCAGGCATGGCAAGTTAGTAATGGTGAGGCAATTAGCTACAAGGAGCTTACAAATAGCATTGGCAACTAGTCCTGTTTCCCTCGGCTTGAATTTTTTTTTTCTTTTAGACATGACTTTAAAAGTTTAGGTCCTCTTTAATGTACATTTCCTATCTAATAATCATAATGTCAGTATCTCTGTCTCACATAAATGCCCTACCTTACTGATTAGATGCAGGTTTCCTCCATGAGAGCAGATCAACTCCTTTCCTTCTTGAAATCATGAGGTTGGCACTCACCCATCTGATTGGTGTCTTTCAGGAAAAATGGCCACTGCTTAGCTCCTAGCCCCAGCCTGTGTAGGCTCGTCTCCCTAGCCTGTGATCAGACACTGAGGAATCGGCAGCACACTGATATTGAGTTGCCTGGCTGCTCTGCCCTCCTGTTTCAGTGCAGGGCTGACAAGCACTCTCCAGATTAATAGAGCCTTGATTGGCTCGGAGTGATATTGTACTGGGGATTATAGTAGGCTGATATCTGTACTGTAAAATGCATTCCATGAGATTTTGGGCTTTGCTTTAGAGATCAGCTCCTCAAGTTCTGGTATTTACGTGCTTGGTGGGCACTGAACCACCCACTTCCTTCCTATATACTATATCTTGGGGACCCCAGTAGGTACGGTTTCCCACAGTAGTTTGTGCCTCTGTCCCTCGCATACAAGGCCATTTACATGGTGTTATCCTGTCCTTGCAGGATTCAAATGTTGTTTGTTCATCCATTCTTATGAAGAATTGATTGGAAAGCGTTCTAGCCCTATGGCTTTATAACAGCTGTGGTATTGGGGTGGAATTTTGGTGGGTGTAATTGATGTTTAAGATGCTTTGGTTTAATGTGAGATCTAGAATATTCATGGCTTGAACTTATGTTTGTTACAGGCTGCAGAAACCGGAAGTGGTAAGACAGGGGTGAGTATATGTGGTTTGCATATTGGATATATGTCCTCTGCTGCATACTATAAAAATGTGTGAGAAGAAGGATGAATGCAATGACAACAGGGTGCTCAGCTGTATATCATGACTACCCTGGACAGGATGTAATCTCACTGCTGGGCCACAGATTGCAAGGGAATCCTGACATTGGATCTAGACCTGCCCCACCACAACCAAGATTTAGAGGGGGGTCGGATTGATTGTAGAAAGGTGATTTCATAACTTTAAAGAATTAATTCTTATTTCCATACATAGTCATCTAGACAGTGAGACATCAAGACTTTACTGATTCATGAAAAGCCCTTTGTCCCCTTAACATCCAATTCATAGAAATTGTGGTCACTATGCTTTCTATCTGCCTGACCACCAGTCTTTACGGACATTGGTAATTTACCTCGCCTTTCACTGTAGTGAGCAGACACTGGAGTCTGACTCCCAGTCTGAACCATCCAATGCAACTGTTGTTTGATTGACAGACCAGAAGACTCCTAGTGTGGCACCCCCTCCCATTACCCCACACTTTGACAGTCCAGGAGACTCCTAGCCTGTCACTCCTCTCATGACCTCACATTTGATCGACAGACCAGGAGACTCCTACCCTGACACCCCCTCCCATGACCTCACACTATGATTGACAAACCAGGCGACTCCTAGCATATCACTCCTCTCATGACATCACACTTTCATTGACAGACCAGGAGACTCCAGCCTGACACCCCCTCTGATGACCTCACACTATAATTGACAGTTTTGGAGATTCCTAGCATGTCACTCCTCTCATGACCTCACACTTTGACAGACCATGAGACTCCTAGCCTGTCAATTATTCGATGCAGGGACAGTGTTGTCACTGCTAATGAGATCCCTCCTCACAGTTAGCAGGCACAGGAGATTCTTCCTGGATGCAGCGATGACATCACCGGGTTTTAAACAATGAGTTCAGTCAAAACAAAGTTTAACCAGTTGACATCCGCGGTGTTAAACCCCCTTCCCATCCAGGCCATTTTTCAGTATTCAGCGCTGCGGTACTTTAACTGACATTTATTCCGTCATGCAGCGCTGTACTGAAATGAATTTTATACCCTTTTTGGGGGACAGATAGAGCTTTCTTTTGGTGGTATTTATTCACCACTGGGGGTTTTATTTTTTTACTATATTAAGGAAAAATTACCGAAATTTAAAAAAAAAAAAAACAGTTTCCCCTATATTAAATGATAAAACATTTATTATTACCCAATTTTTTGGTAAAATATAAAAGATGGGGTCACGTCGGGTAAAAAGACACTAAACATGTCAAGCCTTAAAATTGCGTGCGCGCGCGAAACCTCAAAAAACGATAATACCCAAAATTGGCCCTAGGCGACGCTTTAAAAGCTGTTACCGCTCATCAGTTTAGTGTTTCTGCCCGTGCGTGCCCGCTAGGGGGCGTGCGCGAGCAGAAAAAAATTGCCGTCTGGAGACGGCAACCCGCAGATGCAGCAGTGCCGTCCGTCCGTTTTTCTACTACGGGCGGACGGCAAGAGGTTAAAAAAGAAAAAAAAATAGCTTTTTTGCTTTTCTAAGGAAATGGAACTGTTGGATATATTTTATTACTATCCCAGGGTTCAGCTTTAACTGTAAAATTATTTATTTATAATTGAGTTCTGGTTTAATCTTTCTTGTTTCAGGCTTTCTGTATCCCCGTCATTCAGATTGTATATGAAACCTTGAAAGATCAACAGGAAGGCAAGAAAGGAAAGGCTGCTGTTAAGACTGGCAGCACAGGTATTTATATATAAAAAAACAGCAGTTCATCATCCGTTGATCCAGCTTACACAAATTAAAAAGAACCGTTTACTGCTTATGGTCAAATGCAGCGTGCTTTCAGGTACATTTAGCTTGCATTTGAGATCGGAGAATTTTCTCGGATTATTGAGTTCCTTCACAGGAACATTTGACCTGCAATCGATCTCCTTCTCGCCAACATTTGATCTAATTCTAAGCTGCTTTTTGCTTTCTTTTGACACAGGCCCTAATGGTCATATTTAAAAACATTTTTATATGTCCCCTTATTTACTTAACTTCATATGTGTGAACCTGCCTGTCGACACACATTTAAATTAACAGAGAAGTGCAGGGAGAATAAAATATACTTTGCATGCTGCTTAGAGCCACAGCTCTATACTGAGAGCTGAGCAATCGTGACTGCTGATCACTCAGCTCAGTCTTTTTAACTGCAGAGAGCAGTGACTGTCAATCACCGCTCGCCACAGGGATTTCCCTCTCCCCTGTTTGTTCATCCTGCACTCAATGGAGGGACAGACAGAGGAGCTATAGGCACGGTTGGCTCTGGATCTAGAGAGTCAGTCAGTTGTCACTTAAGCAGCCGGTGTGAATCCTGACAGTATTGTCGGAATCCTTCCCAGGCATGGCTTTGTGCTGTCAGCAGATAATGGGCATTACCCGCTATATGCTCAATCTCGGTCATTGGTGAATTTACTCCTGTGACCAAAAAAGGTAAAGCAAAAAAAAAAGTTTGCAATTTCTTCGCTTTTAAGGAACCCCAGAAGGGGCAGATATAAATATTCTATAAGTAAGCTTTCAGAGTCCTAAAAAAAATATTTGGGTTCTTGCATGAGCCCAGACATGATTTGAACAGTAGAACAGTAGAACAGTAGAAAGGCATCATGGCACACTCACAAACTAGCATGTAAAACAACTTGTCTCACCACTAAGGACAATGACAGAGGTTTGGATACACGTCTTCTGCAAAGGATGTGTAAGCCGCACTGCCGCGCCAAGGCACCTCTTATAGTGCGGTCCTAACTCTAAACTATGAGAGACTCTCATAGTTTAGCTAGTTTGTGAGTGTGCCATGATGCCTTTCTACTGTTCTACTGTTCAAAGCCCATTTCGTGTGCACCTTACTGTACAACTGGTAACAAATTGTTGAGTGCGTTTGTCGTTTGTTTTGCAGACATGATTTGAGTCTCTTTAATCCAAATGAGTTTTCTACAGATATATCTTGATTTCATTAGTGTGAACTGTAGAAGAGGTCTGAGACATTAGCAGCAATAATGCAGTGAAAGCTTTATCTGCTTTAGAGTATCACTAGGGATGCACCCATACCGGGTATTTGCTCCCGATGCTTATCCCGATACCCAACTTGCGGTGTCAGGAAGTCAGACAGCAAGTCATTACATGCTGCCTGGCTTCGTGATTGGCCGGGAAGCTGGCTTTTAGGAAGCCGGGGCACGGGTAATGACTTGCCGCCCGGCTTTCTGATTGGCAAGCTTCCTGACCAATCAGGAAGCCGGATGGCAACTCATGACCCGGTGCCCGGCTTCCTGATTAGTCACGAAGCCAGGCAGCCTCAACAAGTGAAGCCTGTGTTCTTACGATAGAACACCGGCTTCCCAGGCAATCAGGAAGCCGAGCAGCGGGTCATGTAATCAGGAAGCCGGGCGGCAAGTAAATTTCCCCCCCCCGGCCTTTTGATTGCCCAGAATGCCGGCTCCATGCTTCCTCGTTACCTGGTGACGAAGGAGCATGGAGACAGCTTCCCGGCTAATGAGGAAGCTGGTCAGCGAATCATTGCACGCCGCCCGGACTTCCTTAATGGGACTTTGCGGTATTAGTATTGGGTATCAGCGAGTACCGAAAAAAACAAAACAAATGTTACTTGATACCGAAAATCCGGTATCGGTGCATCCCTAAATATCACATATGATATTGTAGGGATAACCCCTACTCCTGTTATAACCCCTGTCAACTTTTTGGGCAGTGTCCAATTGTGGAGATTTCTCTTCACTTCCGTCCGATAGTCACAACAGGAAGTGAGAGTAAATCCTTCCAAAGTGCAGGAAATCCTTTTGGTCAACAGGGTCACCAGAACTAGTTAATAGGTAAAATGCTTCATGTTTCTTAATTTCACCAGAACTAGTGTCCCCATTGGAAGATTTCCTATTTTATTCTTGTTTTGGTGACCACACATTTGGAATTTTCTTTCAGTCAGCTTCAGTGATAACAGTCACCAGGACAAATAGAGGGTGAATCTCCCTAATGGGGACACAGACGGCAATAAAAACCTGACGGGTGTCCTGATCCCTCTCCACTCCATCCACAACTACAAAATACGTTTTGCCTTCATTTGCAGTGTTGTACTGATAATTTAAAGTGTTCTTTCTTTATAGTCCTGAATAAGTGGCAGATGAATCCATATGACAGAGGTTCTGCCTTTGGTGAGTATTTTATCATTTGCTTAGAATCTTTGGAGATAGTTATATAACACAGCACTTTGTGTCACTTCTTATGTAATTATATATAACACAGCACTTTGTGTCACTTCTTATGTCATATTAGGATAAAGGGATTATTCATATCAGGTGAAGGGTAAAACCCCATCCACACTTGCTTATGTGAACGAGCGGTGTGTTTTGCCGCGTGTCAGCATAGGGTAGCCCATTCAGGTTTTTGCGCATTTGTCACACATTAATGAGCACGCCAGGGAGCACATTTCACCTGCAGCTTTTGAGGTGCCATTATTAAGTAATGGCACCCCAAGAGCAGTGCCGTTAACAAGTAATGGCAACACAAGCATGACATGCGCTTTTCAGTCATTGCATGAATGTGCTCAAGTGCAGTGACAGTGCTGTGCTAGGGGAAGGCTGAGGAGCCTCTCACCTAGAAAAGTGGAAGGCACACGGGGACCCACTGGCCAATAGTCACAGGCAAATAGTCCCACCGCACTCTTGACCGAGAAGCCCCATATAATGTGTGTGTGTGTGTGTGTGTGGGGCGGGGGGGGAAATGTGCTGCTGAAGGAAGTGGCCACGGATGTCGCTTTTTTTTCAAACCTTGGTGTGTCTGCTAGATAAAGTCTTACAATTTGAGGAAGCTGAACCCCCCCCAGGGAAAAAAATTATCTACGGCCCTGCTCAAGTGTGAACGGGGTCTCCGTCCACATCTATGCATCGCAGGAGAGTGTGATGCCGCATGAGATCCCATATTGCAATGTTTGTGTGCGATGCAGTGTCATAATTTCTTAATGACATCCCAGTGCACCTAACCATTGCATTGGGATGCATCGCACTACATCGCATGGTAACATATTACCATGTGATTTAAAAAAAAAAAAAGTGCACACACTTCTTTCAATGGGATCTAGCTGCGATAGGCAAATCATTCAAATTAATGGGCTGCCTACCTCAGTACACCACAAGCATGCTCTGCAGCACCTCTGCAATGTGTGAACATGGACTTAGTGTTTTTGTTTTTAATATGAACATGCAAAAAGAAGCCATTCATGGTGTGTTCACACCCCCATAAGTGTTTTAAAGCATTATGTGTGAGGTGGGGGAGGCTGAAATGATAATTCTAGCTGGTAAGAGTTTGCAGTCCCTCCTGGAGGCCTCTAAAAGCTCTGTTTAGGCTTGCAATAGGAAATCTATCTAAAGAGAAAGGCGATCCAGTTATGATGGAAATATGGTAGCCCCCATAGCAGTCTTGTTCTTGGTTTAGATCAGATTAGTCATGCACCCATTGTAGTCCTGTCTCCTGATTGGCATATTTGTTCTGAATCAGTCACTGACTCAATATTGAAGTCTTGAGAATCTACAGGGTTCAAAATTAAATGGCAGTGGCAGCTCCCATGTCTGTCACGACAGGTACACATTAAACTGAGGGTACCATTCTAACCTTCTGCACAGTTTCAGGTGTCCTGGATGGAATTATTGTTGTCCAAAGTTGCTTTTTAATTTATTTATTTTTTATCTTCTTCAGCCATTGGTTCTGATGGATTTTGTTGTCAGAGCAGAGAGATGAAGGAGTGGCATGGATGCAGGTCAACTCGCGGAGTCAGCAAAGGTAAACGGTGCCAAAGGGCACTCTGGTTATACAATTAACATGACATTTGCTAAAGAAAAAAAGTGTGTGTGTATATGTATGTATGTATATATAATATATATATATTTACCTAGTGTTCTTGTCTGTAACACACTTCTTGTCCTAGGGTGACGGCATTCACATGTTTGTGCTGCATCTCAGCTGCTTTTAGCTTAATTTATGGATTGTTTAATGCTGAAATTATAACTGTTTTCTGTTATTAGGGACTAAGTGGAGCTAAATTAAAATGCACCTAAAGCAGTGGTTCTCAACCTTTCTAGGGCCGGGACCCCTTGGTAACATTTGCCAAGTTGTGGTGACCCCCAACGGTAACATTCAGGGTTGACGCGGCTGCTGCAGCGACATCTGGCAGCGTGGCGGGAGAACTGACACTGCTGCGCTAGGAGAGGGCTGAGGAGGTCTCTCACCGAGCACAGCAGAAATCACACAGCGACCCACAGGTTGAGAGCCACTGTTGTAACAGCTAAAATGGCAAACCATATAACACAAGCCGAGGGTGTCAGCTTTTATTATTAAGAATAATGATGATAATCTAATAGCTATCTAATGGTGGGAGAGTCCCGGCGACCCCTGGCAAATTGTCATTCGACCTCCGAAGGGGTCCCGACCCACAGGTTGAGAACCACTGACATAAAGGGTAATTGTGGAATATAACATGGGTGCAAAAATTGAAAAAAGGGCCTCAGTCATGAAGGGGTTAAAGCTGATCTCCTTGATAAGTAAATATTCCTAAATAGAAGAGTCATGTATATTCTTCCTTAAATCTTTGTGAGGTGTGTGTATTTCTTCCAGATCCTGTGCAGTGACACTTTCGCTTTATCCATAAGCTTCCTTTAACCCTTTAGCTGCCAAGCCCTCGGGAACATTTTGCACCTCAACTGGCCAAGCCATTTTTGCAACTTTTCCCATTGATTTGATTTTCAACTGCTGCGTTGCTAGCGTTTGTAAAAGACCCCCCAAACCATATATTTTCTGAAAGCGCAGGCCCGGTAGAATAAAAAGATGGTGCTACTAAATTTGTAGGCCCTGCGATAATTGCGCAAATGTTTCTGAAATTAATATTAAACAGATAGATAAAAATACACAATTCAATTGATAAAGCACTAAAATCACTATCGGCGCACAAAAAAAAAAAATTCTGACTAAATCTAAAAAAATTAAACTGTATTGAGTTAAAAAAATAACAAATATTTGTACATTTAAAAATGCGCCTTTTTGCGAAAAGGTAAAAAAATGAAGGTACGCACAACTGTAAATAAGCGACTTATGTTAAAAATCGTTTTTGCGCTGTACCCCTGACATTTCTCTTTTGAAATAGAAAAAGAAATTGAGGACACAGAGTCCTCACTTTCTTTTTCTGCAGCCTCCGCACTAAATGAATGGGAAGCACTCAGTACCGAGGCTTCGCCATTAATTCAGAAACTGGTGATCGTAAAATATTTACTACCACCAGTTTCTCAATGGGGAGGAGCCTCTGTAGTGAGTGCTACTCCCTATTGAGAAAATCATGAATGAACAGAAAGTGATGTAAATCACATGCTGTTCATAACTGGGGACACATAGTACTATGAGCAAAAGCAGAGACACCGCCACTCCAGGGTGAAAAGCAAAACGTCTATTTATTGACGTGCAGCATAACAGGTATTGCAACGAACGTATGCTTTTGCCTGAGGAAGGGGGATCCTGTGCGCCCCCGAAAACGTTCGTTGCAATACCTGTTGGGCTGCACGTCAATAAATAGACGTTTTGCTTTTCACCCTGGAGTGCCGGTGTCTCTGTTATTGCTCATAGTTCTGACGGTTGCCACCTGTTGACTACCGTAGCACCCGCTTCTTGAAAGGGATCTTGCAGTCAGGAGTGCGATGGGACCATGGACTTTTCGTTCGTTCGTTCGTTCGTTCGTTCGTTCGTCCCCAGTTATTAACAAACACTGGAGTGATCAGACGATCAGTCCAGTGTTTGTGCTGCACAGAGGATCGGTTAATATCAATGATATTTGAAACTGACAGGATGACAGCGGCTCCGCTCTCCTCACCGCTCGGCCATCCTGAAACTTGCGTCTTCTCCCCGCCAGCCACCGTTCTCTCCTCCTCCCGATAATAGGACACCAATCCTGATATTTTAACTTAGGATTTGTGTTTGGCTTTTTTGGTTTTTGGAGATTAAAACTTTGTCATCTTTATGTTCTACAGGAAAGTATTACTATGAAGTGTCCTGCCATGACCAGGGTTTGTGTCGAGTTGGTTGGTCTTCACTTCAGGCGTCATTAGATCTTGGTAAGTGTGCTGTGTACCATGCAGACTGCATATAACATTACAACACTGGCAGAGTTCACCGAAAATTGTCTAACGTGTTGTTGCCATAACAGTGCTGAAGTGTTGGGTCTTTGAGGTGCCTGAAAGACCTGTGTCAGCTCGGTATTTCCACTTTTACACTCAAATTGGAGAAAATTCCTCTATGTGCTTTTGTTCCTATTCACACAGCATATCTAAAAACTGTTAAAAAAAATATTTCTTACCTTGTTAGATGTGTCTGTGTAGCTGCCTTTGCAAGCTTATCTTTCAAGTGACATGAACGGTCTGTCCCCATAGTAAGACTAGGGTCAGATTGAGCGTGCCCTCATTATCATTCAATTCATCTAGATTTTTAACCCTTTGTTAGGGCAGAAAGTGTTCAAATCTAGTTTACTGCTGATAATGAGATCTGCCAGCACAGTACAGACAGGGTTAATAAGGTTAAAAATGACCCCCCTTGCATTCCAGGGGAGAATTCGTTTAAAGAAAAGCTTTTCTTTTTAGAATACAGCAAGTAATATGCAAGCAGCAATTTTCTTTTGTTTTTTTAAGTTATGCTATGTGAATGAGAACATGTGCTGGATATAAAATATGTGATATTTCAGGTTGGCTGCAAAAGTGGAAACACACTTTAAAGTGACCCTAAAATCAAGAGTGAAATCTTAAAAATACATTCAAGTAGCTTAAAGTGACATTAAACCCTCACGCTTTTTTTTTTGATATTTCAGGTTGGCTGCAAAAGTGGAAACACACTTTAAAGTGACCCTAAACTCGAGTGAAATCTTAAAAATACATTCAAGTAGCTTATTAAACCCTCACGCTTTTTTTTGCATATATCTTCTGCTAGTAAGCAGTAGATATATGCAAAAATATTTAAAAAAAAAAAGTTAAACTTATCTGTTTCTCCACCGCGCGCTGAAGATTCTTGGGTGGCTACAAAGGATCTTGGGGCGGGCGCTTGCGCAGTAGAGATCTTTGGCTGGGAAAAGAGGAGAGACGCAGGGTAAGTCAATGCAGCAGCGTGCACCCACACAGGCTCCGTGAGACGGGAAGAGACAGGAGTCAGCGCTGGATCAGAGACTGGCACCAGCGCTGCAAGGACTCCTGAAAACTACTGGAAAGAAGATGATCAGATCAAGAGGCATCATTTTAAGTTAAGTGCTTAAAGCAGCATGGGGGGGGGGGGATCTTTAATCTCACTTTAACTATTAACAAAAATGTATCTGTATATCCTCAAATCATCTCTGAATTGGTGCTGACACTGTCCTTCTTTCTGTGGCCACCGCTCCAAGCCCGCTCCCGTGATGGACTACAATCTCATGTTTAGTTTACTAATTTGTATTGAGCTTGTAGTCCATCACGGGAGCGGGCTTGGAGCGGTGGCCACAGAAAGAAGGACAGTGTCAGCACCAATTCAGAGATGATTTGAGGATCTACAGCCGAATGATACACAAATAAGATACATTTTTGGTAATGGTCAAGGTCCTTGAATGTATGTTTAAGGTTTAACCCCTGAGATTAGTGACACTTTAAGCCCTGCTTTTCCAAGCACTAAGCCCCCCCGTCTTTTGCCATTCAACATCAATTGTCACAACGTCAATGTTCAGCCAATTGGCTGTATCTATTGTTTGGGTTATCTGACAGCAGAACACCTGCCACTGTCGGTACAATAAGACGTTAGCCTGTGTTGGCATCAATGAAGGTGTAATTGTTTTCTGTTGTTCAGCCTGTGGGACTAATTGAGAAACAACACACATTATGTGGCCAGCTTTAGAGTTTACATCTCTGTACCTGTTTTACTTCTTTAGATAAAGCCTGCCTATCTAATTCATGGATACTAGCGTTTGTTTTTGTAGTCCTCAAACATTTATTTATCGTCATTGTACATTTATCCATTAGGTTCACTCACAACGTCAATGTTCAGCCAATTGGCTGTATCTATTGTTTGGGTTATCTGACAGCAGAACACCTGCCACTGTCGGTACAATAAGACGTTAGCCTGTGTTGGCATCAATGAAGGTGTAATTGTTTTCTGTTGTTCAGCCTGTGGGACTAATTGAGAAACAACACACATTATGTGGCCAGCTTTAGAGTTTACATCTCTGTACCTGTTTTACTTCTTTAGATAAAGCCTGCCTATCTAATTTATGGATACTAGTGTTTGTTTTTGTAGTCCTCTTTATCGTCATTGTACATTTATCCATTAGGTTCAGATATTTGATTTTATCCAGAGAAAAAAGTAATATTGATCTCTTCCTTCAGGTACGGACAAGTTTGGCTTTGGGTTTGGAGGAACTGGAAAGAAGTCTCACAACAAGCAGTTTGATAACTATGGGGAGGTAAGTCCGTTCTTTTTATTTGCAGTGCGGACACATAAGGGATGATTTGTAAAGCTTCTGCCTAATCATACCCTGTGCTAATTCCCATCGCTAGATGGAGTTGAGGAGCATAGGCATTTGCACAAACACATGGTGAAATCCTGTATGCCCCGTGGGTCTGAATTCACACTTGGCTGGGTCGAACCACCACACATCTATTCAATTCTATAGTACCAGCAGAATTCTGCTTACTTTGAGGCACGCAGAAACGAACCTAGTATATTCCTATATAAATATTTTTTGTTTTAAATGTGTACAATTAGACGAATTACACAATGGCTTAGTGGCTAGCACTTCTGCCTTGCATCACTGAGGACCCTGGTTTGTATCATGGTCAGGACCATATCTGAAACAAGTTTGTGTGTTCTCCCTGTGCCTGCCTGGGTTTCCTCCGGGTATTCCAGTTTCCTTCCACACTACAAAGGCATGATGATGGAAAGTTAATTGGCTTGTTTCTAAATTGCCCCTACTATGCATGTATGTGAGATAGGGACCTTCGATTATAAGCCCCCTGAGGGCAGGGACCGATGTGAGTGTGCAGTATGTAAAGTGCTCCATAAATTGTTGGCGAAATATATAAAAACCTGTAATGTAAGAAAAATTATTAGATCATATTAGTCCCCCCAGGACCTGCCATTGTAATTAAATGCGAACCAAGTGGTTGCACAGTACCTGTTATCAAACTGTCACTGTCAGATCACAGGCAAAATCCAAAGTGCCTTGTGATTGCTATGAACCAATCACTGCGATCACACGTGTAAACACTGGCTGTATTCACATGCATCATCAAAGGGAATTACTCGCTTTGCGTTGTACTACCAGAGATAGTTCTGCAGCATATCCACAGTCCAGAGGTGCAAGTCCCCGAGTGATCAGCAGCAGCATTGTGGAGAAGTAGGGTCAGCAGAATGTGTAGCGATGGGAGTAGTTTGACAGGGAAGGAGGAAGCTTAATATACAGGAGCACCTCCTGCAATCTCAGCAAGAAATTAGCTTTGTACTGTCCTACAACATGCATCCAGGAGCTGACACTCAAATTGTGACTTCCTGGCTTCATCTGCCATTATATTCTTCTTTTTATTCCACTCGAATCTGTCTTTATTGTGCACCATTTATATAGAGACAAGATAACTGGGATACAGATTCAACAAGTGAGAAGAAGTGGAAGTGACTGGAGTTTTCTCCTCGTTTCTCACTCATTGTATCTTCTGCTTACCTTATCAGAGAACACTGGAACTGATGCATAAAACTATTTATTTGATAAATATTTTATAACTGAAATAAATAAAAAAAATTAAAAAAAACCTCAGTGGTTATTAAATACCACCCAAAGAAAGCGCCATCGGTTGCCAAAAAATTATGCAAATTTCATCTTGGTACACTATTGAGTGACCGAGTAATTGTCAATCAAACTATCACAGCACTGAAAAATGAAATATGGCCTGGAAAGGAAGGGGGTGAAACATGCCGCTATTGAGGTGGTTAAGTTCCCTGCCACGCACTGTGTAAGCAAACACACAGTTGACATATACGGTCTTCTAACCCTACTCACATTTGCACCCCAATTTCTGCTCAAGCCAGTGTGATAAATTGCTGCAATTAATGACTTATTTATTTTTTTAAATTTGTTTTGTTCTCTAGGAGTTTACAATGCATGATACCATTGGTTGCTACCTGGACGTCGACAATAGCCTTGTGAAGTTCTCTAAGAATGGTGAGTGATTACGTCTTTCTCATTAGGATGTGCTGTTTTCGCAAGCTTTTGCATTCATTTTTGTTTATTTCTGTTTAGGGAAAGACCTCGGGCATGCTTTTGATATCCCCCCACACTTGAAGAACCAAGCATTCTTTGCATCATGCGTTCTGAAGGTAACCACAATCACTTCCAGTAGTTCCACCATATCTTAACTAGTTCAGTTGTGATAAGTGGCTTACAAATGTATTAGGAACCTGTGACCACATAAATACCACAAAATGGCTGCAGCTACTGGCAGTACCAATGCTTGTTTCTACACAGAACCACAGACACTTGGGTGGTTAAAGCTTTGGAAACTTGAGATCTATATCAACAAATAAAAGCCAGCAGATTGTCTGGAACCTTTTCTTGGAGTGGGCTCTCGCCTCCCACAGTCATACAACGGAGATTTCAAAGTTATTCGGGTCCCCTTTATTAAAGGAGAAGTATTGGGAGAGTAAAATGAACTCTTCCCAATAGTAAGTGCCGGTGTCTGACACTGCAGATGTCATATGCTGGTTCTATAGCTCAACTGAGTAATGATGACATACTGCTGATCGCTCAGCTCCCGATCTTCTCCCTGCATTGAGCACTGACTGTCAGTCACCACTCCCCGGAGTGATTCTCCCCTCTCTCTGTTTCTCCTGCTCTTATTGGAGGGACAGACAGGGGAGGGGGCGGACACAGCCGGCTCTGGCTCCAGAGAGGGAGAGTAAGCTGTCTGTCAAGCAGAGGGGTTGGATCCCGACAATATTGTTGGGATCTTTCCCAGCTGCAGCTCTGTGCTGTCAACATATAGAGGACAGTAGCCAGCTAGATGCTGACTTTAGGTCTAAAGAGAACTATAGCCAAAAGGTTTGGCCATAGTTCGCTTTTAAGTGGTTGCGGAGGGGTTTGCAAAAATAAGTGCGCACATCCTTGCACATTGTGGCACACTCACGTTACAAATGTGCTCTTCTCTAGCACTGTCTGATATTTGATCGCCTGTCTCCGCCATTTTGGCTGCCATCACTTCCTGGTTCCATGGGAATCCTCTTTATCCATTGGGTGGCCCCTGATAGTGTAACTCCAGCGCGAAAGCACTGTAGTTGCATCCACCCCAGCATCAGACCCATTCACAGCATCTTTAGAGATTCCCTGAATAAGAAGAGTATGTACATTGCACGGCACACTCGCCATACAGTGTACACAAAAATAAAATTTCGCTATTGGAAAGATGGACAATTTTTTGGACAGAGGCTTTACATGTCTCTTTTGCCAAAATGTGACACCTCCCTAGGGATTTTTTTTTTTTTTTAACTTTCACTTTAAGGTTGTCACCTTTAACAAAGGAAGCCTGTGTACCCAGAAATGTAGGATGTATGCTGCCAAACTTTGATACAAATCAATACATAAAGTTGGCACCTAAATGGAAGGAAATAACCTTCTATTGCAGTATTTACAGCATGTCTCTGGCCCCCAGACTGATATTCTTCATTGTTAGAAGACACCCATTCTACAGACTTTACACCTTGGCTTACATGGAACTTAAGGACTATGTTCAAATTGGTTCTTTCAGAATGCCGAGCTGAAATTTAATTTTGGAGATGAGGAATTCAAATTCCCACCTAAGGACGGGTTTGTTGCTTTGTGCAAAGCTCCAGATGGTCACGCAGTCAAATCCCAGAATGCTGGTACGTATGAAACTCTACTCCCTTCACATTCTATCTGTCAGTTTTCTAGGTTATGAAATGAGACATGATTGATTAGTTTCGGGACTCGTCTCCCCTACTTTGCCATTTCCACAAGTTGTTATGCATGGGACCAATTACAAACTGGATTGAGGGGCTGTAACACTAATTCAGTAATTCCGGTATTGCATCTTCGCTGCACAATGTCCCAATGCAGGCTTTATAGAAGGCATCCATCAAATTCAAACCCACTTTCATGCTCCCCAGCATGTTGTTCCCCCGAGGAATTGGTTTACATGATTGATCTTACAAGAGAATGTTATGTCTTTTGGGACACTTTTTTATTTTATTTTATTTTTTTATTTATTTCTGCATTGGCCTAGGTGTGATCCTTGACTCCGACCTCGTCTTTCTGCCAAACATCCAATCACTATCTAAATCTTGCCACCTATGGTCTATTGCAATTTGAAATAGCCAATAGCAGGCCCATTGTTAACATTCTGCTGCCGACCGTGGAATGTTGCCAGCAGCAAGATGTAAACAAAGAATTTTGTTAGCAACTAAATACACTTAGTTGCTAATGTAATATTTTATTGTGCATCACGCCACTGACAAAAAAAAATTAATTGAGGACATCGGTCCTCTATTTATTTTTTGGGGGGCCAGTTGCTTTGGAGTGCTGGTAGCTCGTATGCCTTATAATGGGAAGTGTTACTGTTGCCATTCATCAGGCCTTATGTTGTTCCACCATTTTTGCTGACTTCTGCTATTGTATTTTTATATCAGGAAGTGCCCAAGTGAGTCAAGCAAAGACTTTACCTAATGCACCCAAAGCCCTCATTATTGAACCATCCCGGGAGCTGGCGGAGCAGACTCTGAATAATGTCAAGCAGTTCAAGAAATACATAGACAATCCCAAACTAAGGTGATCACTATGTACCGGTTCTTGTCAATGTGTATGGTGTTAGACTTTTTGGCTTAAAACTATTAATATGATTTTTTTTGTGCAGGGAGCTCCTGATCATCGGTGGAGTAGCTGCAAAGGAGCAGCTGGCAATACTGGAGAGTGGAGTAAGTGTATTATTTTCTTCTTTAGAGTGCTATTTCAATTGAAGTAGAATTAAACCCTCGGGGTTCTTGCATTTATCTACTACTAGCAAGCAGTAGATATTTGCAAAGACATAAAGAAGTTACCAAAAAAGGTTATTAGTTACCTGTGTCTCCACCGCACGGTCCCATCTGAAGATTCTTGGGTGGCTGTGAAGGATCATGGAGCGGGCGCATGTGCAGTAGAGATCTTCGGCCAGGAGAAGAGGAGAGACTTGGTAAGTGCACCTGCACAGACACCATCTGACAGGAAGAAACAGAAGTGAGCGCTGGATCAGAGACCAGCACTGGAGGGACTCCTGAAATCTACTGGAAGGAAAAATCTGATCAAAGGTCATCACTTAAAGGAGAATTATGAGGTGAGTGATTTCACTCAGCCTCATAATCTGAGCCGACCTGTGACAATGAAACTGTCACCGATCGGCTCAGTAGATCAGGAAGTGAGCGAACACATACCGTCGCTCCCTCACTTCTTGATCTATCTGTGCAGAGAGCCGTGACTGTCCCTCACGGCGCCCTGCAGGGATTCCCCCCCCTTTCCTAATCCTCCAGCGCTGACTGCCGAAACGGACGGGGGAGGGGGTGGGTACAGCTGGCTCTGCCTCTAGATAGGCGGAGCCAGCTGTCACGCACGCAGCTGAGTGGATCCAGACAGAATTGTCGGGATCCGTTCCGGCTGCGGTGTCTCAGTATACTGAGCTTTGGGTGACGGGAGGACGCTAGTTTGTGTCCTCCCGTTACCCTTAGGAGAACTATGGGGAAAAGCCCTAACCCCATAGTTCTCCTTTAAGGTAAGTCCCAACAGCAGAATTGGGAGGGGATAGACTTTAATGTCACTTTTAAAGTTGAGCTCTGGGCAGATTTAAAAGACCCGAATTAATGCATCTCTGCAACCCGCAGATGCAGCAATGCCGTCCGTCCGTTTTTCTACTATGGGCGGACGGCAAGAGGTTAATACACAATGATATGCATGTTTAAAACAAATTACTGTCCCTGGACTGCCTCCTTTTATTCACTGGATTTCACTTCTTTCAATCATGGTGGCTCAGTGTCGCATGTCATTATTACCTACAGATTGGCATCTACCCATCAAGGCATTTTGATATTTGCATAACTCCTCCCAAGAGCCAGCCCACTGCTTGCATCAGGACTGAGAGCTGTTGAGAGGAGTACTGCGACGGGTGCTGTGATGTTTTCAGGAAGCTATGTACGCCACCCTGCTGACCCCCTCCCATTTATGTAGAGAAGCACAGAGACCCAGTGAAGAAATCACTAGGTCTAAAATTAAATTGTTTTTTTACAAATACGATGCTGGTGTCAGGAATAGTCCTCTCACTACTTTGACAACTCACCAAAACATTGCTTGTGTTCCCAATAGGTTGACATTGTAGTGGGCACTCCGGGAAGAATTGATGATCTCATCTCAACGGGAAAACTGAACCTGTCACAAGTGCGCTTCCTGGTCCTTGATGAAGCTGTAAGTGGTGTATTATTTTCTTCACCCGCTGACTTTCTCACCATGTTTGTGTTCTCTTGTTCTATGCTTTGTTCTGTGACATTGTCTAGTTTGCTGATCTCTCCAGTGCTGTGTTGTAGGATGGCCTCCTCTCTCAGGGATACTCAGACTTCATCAACAGAATTCATCAACAAATCCCTCAGATCACTCCCGATGGGAAAAGGCTGCAGGTAAGACGAGACTTGCTATATATATGGACCATCGCGCTAAAATGAGAAAGATTTTGGTATTCCTCAGTGTTGGATGCTTGCAGTTCCTGAGTTCATATGGCGATATATGGCCGTTTCATTCACAGAAGAGGCAATCCTGGCATCTCTTTAGATGTGAACATTCCTTTTTCTTATCCCAACTACTTCTGATCACCAAGGGCAGTCCCACACTTTATGGAAGCTTATCATTCTCCATTGCAGTACAACTCCAACTTCGGGACCAGTGGCACCAAGTGATGGTAGTAACCTTGGCGTCACATGGAAGCACTGCCTCAGCTGTAAATAGATTTGCAAATGGAAAACCTTGCTTTAATCCACTAAATATATTTATGCAAATGAGTCCGGTCTGCGGAGAATCCTTCCCAGATTTGCCATGGTTTGGATCCCTGAATAGTGTTATTTTGCTATTCGCTATTGTTTGGATTTTTGTATTACCAGGGATGTATAGGCTGGGTTCATATATGGACTTTTGTACTATCAGGGATGTACAGGCTGAGTTCCTGTATGGAGGTTTGTTCCTCCAGGGATGTACAGGCTGGGTTCATGTATGGACCTTTGTTCCTCCAGGGATGTACAGGCTGGGTTCGTGTATGGACCTTTTCCTCCAGGGATGTACAGGCTGGGTTCATGTATGGACCTTTGTTCCTCCAGGGATGTACAGGCTGGGTTCATGTATGGACCTTTGTTCCTCCAGGGATGTACAGGCTGGGTTCATGTATGGACCTTTGTTTCTCCAGGGATGTACAGGCTGGGTTCATGTATGGACTTTTGTTCTTCCAGGGATGTACAGGCTGGGTTCATGTATGGACTTTTGTTCTTCCAGGGATGTACAGGCTGGGTTCATGTATGGACTTTTGTTCCTCCAGGGATGTACAGACTGGGTTCATGTATGTGCTTTTGTTCTTCCAGGCATGTATAGGCTGGGTTCATGTATGAAATGTTGTTCTTCCAGGCATATACAGGCTTTATGTATGGACTTTTGTTCTTCCAGGGATGTATAGGCTGGGTTCATGTGTGAAATGTTCTTCCAGGGATATACAGGCTTTATGTATGGACTTTTGTTTTGCTCAGGTGATCGTGTGTTCGGCCACTCTTCATTCATTCGATGTGAAGAAGCTGTCTGAGAAAATCATGCACTTCCCCACCTGGGTGGATCTGAAAGGAGAAGATTCTGTCCCTGAAACCGTTCACCATGTTGTAGTGCCGATCAACCCAAAGAAGGATAAAGTGTGGGAGCGGCTGGGCACCAAACATGTCCGAGTAAGTGCAGTGTTGATGGGGGTCATCGTATGATTGATTCAGACACTTGAAATACAGAATATGAGAGAGTTTGGCTGTGTTCTAGGAGTGCCTCTTAAAGGGAGCCTGCAAGTATAGAAATATGGGAGCTGCCATTGCTGACATGATTTCATCTGTGCAAACTGCAGGGCTGTCCTCTATTTCTGGCTTTAGCTCTGGGACACATTAGGTAGTAAAGCATTTATAGGGATGGCAACTCTTTTAGATTCTCGAAAAGCCTGAGATGCTCTCTCTTTCTCTCTGTCCCCCTCTTTGTCTATCTTCCTCTTCCATTTCTTTCTCTTTACTTCCACCTTCCCCTGATTTCTCTCTTCCTCCCCCCCCCCTTCTCTTTCCCCATACAGAAAGTATTAAAGTATGTTAACAATGAACTGAAAACCGTTTGGTTACATTTGTGTTTGTGAAAACGCCATAACAAATGTATGTATGTCCTTAAAATCATGTAAAACTGGTCTGACAGGCAAATTAGTCCTAGTGATTGTCATTCATTGATGCATGCTGAAATTGCTGAACGTGATCTGGACATCCAGGCTTCAATACCCTCCTATTATGAAGGGGTTAACATCAGTCAGTGATCTTTGGGGTTCGCATGTAAAATAAAACATTACCAGGTGGACATAAGGGGTATAATGCGGGTTCACTGTTGATTTTTTATTTAAAGTTCTATGTTAATGTTTACCATTTCTTGTTACTTAGACTGATGGAGTCCATGACAAAGATAACACCAGACCCGGAGGAAGCTCCCCAGGTAATGTGCGATGTCACGTATTATACTGCAAAAGGCGCAGCCGTAGCTTATGTTTGCCATAACGATCTTTAATTTCGGCCATGTGAGTGCTATTCTCAGTCCTCATTGGCTGTCATGACTGAAAAGTTACGTCAAATAGCGACTGTTAGTCCGCGTTCACACCCTTCATTTCTATGGCGCCTGTTCACACCTGAGCGTTCTGTCACACGTTTCCCCTTGAAGTCTACGGGGCCAAAAAAGCTCTGTAATCTCACCCTAAAAGGAACTTGTGTATCCCTGATTTTGTTTTTGGTCTGATTGTTTGTAAAGTTGACATGACAATTTTATCTGTTCCATATGGTTATAAGTAAGAATTTATAAAAGTAGCTTATATACATTTTCCATCCACAGGTGTTTTTCTGCTTGTGACAAAATGCTCAGGTGTGAACAGAGGCCATAGAAATGAATGGGATTCCTTGCCTTGAGCGTTTTGTCATGCTTGGCTTCGTGTGACATAACACCTAGGTGTGAACGGAGCCGAATAGCTCAGTGAATTGGCCTCTGTTATGCAGCAGCATTGATCTGAAAGCAGTTTGTTCATTTTTGTAGTACAGATCTGGTAAAGTCCAGTAAGCAGGTTGATTTCCTACTTCATTATTTTTTCTTGCATGCAATTATTTTCTTGTTCTGGAAACGTGTTTCCTCCAAAAGAGAGCACAGCTATGGGGGCCCATTTTTCACCCAATTTTGCCAGCCTCCCTATGGGGGTTTTTTAGGATAGTCATCATGTCTTCCACCAATCAGTTTTTCCTCAAAAATCACATTTCTAATGACTTGGGAAGGAGATCCATCTGACATCCATTTTTCTTTTTTTAGTATCTTAACCAGTGGAAATGATGACATATAGCAATAGTTATAAAAACTCTTAACACTACACTAATTATTAGGGTTTTAGTTACACAACTTTTGGCAAACGTGCAAGCCGCACTGCCTCGTCAAGGCCCCCCTCTCTGTGTAGTCCGGTCCTAACTCAGAGCCTCCATCTTGGAGCATCTATAGCAAAGGATGAATTGGGTGCAGGTATACCAGGAGGCAGCCCAACCTCCTTAAAGGCATGGGGACACACCAGAAGCCCAACACATCATAACGGCAGCTGAAGTTCCCAGTGTGTCCCCACGCCAAATCCAACAAGTAAAACGCATGGCGAATGCACTCAATTCATAACTGGCTTTAAAGCAAGCTGCACGAGGGAGGACTGTACACAATACAGAAACAGACATTTCCCAGCACACTCACCAGCCAGCCTTCAAAAAAAGTACACGGTCTAATTACTAGGGTTAAAAGCAGAGGTTTTAGTTGCACGACTTTTGCGAAATATGTGGAAGCCGCACTCTGCACCTTGCTTAAAGCTAGTTAGGATTTGATGAGTGCGTTTGCCATTGTGTGACATGTGGGGCAGCGTATGGGAGACCAGCCACTGTGGAGTCCATAACTGATTGTGGCTCTGTGTTCTGTTTTCCAGAAGCCATGTCGGAAGCCATTAAGATCCTGAAGGGAGAGTACACAGTCCGTGCCATCAAAGAACACAACATGGACCAAGCCATCATCTTCTGCCGGACCAAGCTGGACTGCGACAACATGGAGCAGTATTTTATTCAGTATGGAGGAGGTAATAACTGCCTGGCTGCCTCTATAGAGAATGGCAGCAACATTTTATAATCGTGTTAAATGATCGCTAATTCGCTATAGTATATTTTCCAGGAGTTATTATTCTAAAGTGATACTGAACTCAGGAGTTAACCCACGCAAGCACAGGGAAACCTTGCAAACTCCATGCAGATAGTGTCCTGATCAGGGTTTGAGCCAAGGGCACCATTGTTGTAGGGCAAGCCATAAGTGCTAACCACTAACCCACATTGCTGCCTTGCCAGACAAAACTGTTTTTTTTCTAGTTTTTGGTAGAATAAGGAAGGGTTTAAGCCTCTGGCAGGTTTTATTTTATTATTGAGGAAATTCATTCATATTTTGTATTTACCATCTCAAATGAAACCAAGCTTAACGTTTTTATTTACTCAAATGTTTCAGGGCCTGACAGGAAAGGACATCAGTTCTCATGTGTGTGTCTGCACAGTGACCGGAAGCCACAGGAGAGAAAGCAAAACCTGGAGCGATTTAAGGTATGTGCTGAAAGCTACTGCTGCTTTAAAGTGACATTAAACCCTCAGATTTTTTATCATAAACCAATACTGTAATGTGTGCCTTGCTGTAATCCATGGTAGTTTCCCTTCTCTTTGCTGCTCTTCCTTTTAAAATCCTCATGTCTTCTCATGCTTGGGGAGAACTTCCCTTTGCAGCTCAGGGCCTCTTCCTGTAGTGCTGGCTCAGATTACAAACCTATACAAATCTATACACAGACACCGTGTATCCATTCCTGAGACAAGGCAGTCTGCTGCAAAACAGAAGTTCTGCCCAGCATGAGAACAGATACAGATTTAAAAGGAAGAGCAGCAAAGAGAAGGGAAACAACCATGGATTACAGTAAGGCACACATTACAGTATTGTTTTATGTTAAAAAATCTGAGGGTTTAATGTCACTTTAAGGGTCTCTAGTGATGGAGAACGTTATTTGCTTGCTATGGCCTGCAGGTGGCAGTGCGGCTCTTTAGAGAACAGAGCTATATTTGCTATAGCCTGCAGGGGACTGTGTTACTCTTTAGAGAACAGAGCTATATTTGATATGGCCTGCAGGTGGCAGTGTTGCTCTTTAGAGAACATTGCTATATTTGCTATAGCCTGCAGGGGACAGTGTTATTCTTTAGAGAACATTGCTATATTTGCTATGGCCTGCAGGTGGCAGTGTTGCTCTTTAGAGATCAGAGCTATATTTGTTATGACCTGCAGGTGGCAGTGTTGCTCTTTAGAGATCAGAGCTATATTTGTTATGACCTGCAGGTGGCAGTGTTGCTCTTTAGAGATCAGAGCTATATTTGCTATGACCTGCAGAGTTTAGCAGTGAAAAATGTGACCTATCTGCATTATAATATTAAGGCTCTGGAGTTATACAGCCTTGCTTCCTCACATTGTGTTTCAGGATATTTTACCATTGAATTTCCTTAATAATTGGTCTCTGATCTGCCATCTAATTTTTTCCACACTTTTATTACTTTGTATTTTAGAAAAGTGAAGTTCGATTCCTGATCTGCACAGATGTGGCTGCCAGAGGTATTGATATCCGTGGAGTTCCTTACGGTGAGTTGTTTTTCTGTTATTATTTAACCCTCTTGTTTAAAAAAAACAAACCTAAAATGATCGGTTACAATGATGTCTTTTCTTCATTCAGTTATCAATGTGACCCTTCCGGATGAGAAGCAGAACTATGTCCATCGTATTGGGAGAGTTGGCCGAGCTGAGAGGTATTGTACAGTTAGGAATTGTGCTCCTACTGCTGTGTTTGCTAATCATCGGAAACTTTTCTCCTATTGTGATTTAGAAGCTTTCCCTCCCTCAGTAGTGGCCCATTTACATCAGGGTGTTGCAATAACGCTACATGCATTGCTGCATTATGTAAAGTCCATCCCAATGTCTCTGCATTGCCGTGTGTTGCAAAGCATGATAATGCCCTACCTTGCGCTGTGCTAGTCAAACTTGGTGCATGGACGATTTTTGGTTTCTTGGGATGCGTTAGCAGCCGGTTCAAATGAATAAGCTGAATTAATGCAAAACATGTTTACAAGCATTAAATGGAGTGGGCCCTTACTGAGCACGCACTACTGCTGTTTGGTTTTTTACACCTATATGGACTGTGCAACATAGCTATATGTCAGGGCTTGATTGGATGGGCCAAGGCAGCCTTGTTTCCTTTTACTGTTAACCTGGAGGGTGATAGTGGCAGGACTGGCGCACACATGCTTACATTGTTTTACATTATACATTTCAAAGTGAAGCTCTAGCTAGAGGCATGCTTTTTTTTCCCCTCACATCTCAACTCCCTTCTCTTGATTCCCTTCACGCAAGTCTCCCCTTTCTTCTCTCTTCCCTCGACTCTCCCCTTTCTTCTCTCTTCTTTCCGCTCTCCCCTCCTTCTACTCTCCCCTCTCTCTCTTCCTTCGACTCTTCCCTCTACTCTCCCTTTTCTTCTCTCTTCCCTCTACTCTCCCTTTTCTTCTCTCTTCCCTCTACTCTCCCTTTTCTTCTCTCTTCCCTCTACTCTCCCTTTTCTTCTCTCTTCCCTCTACTCTCCCTTTTCTTCTCTCTTCCCTCTACTCTCCCTTTTCTTCTCTCTTCCCTCTACTCTCCCTTTTCTTCTCTCTTCCCTCTACTCTCCCTTTTCTTCTCTCTTCCCTCTACTCTCCCTTTTCTTCTCTCTTCCCTCTACTCTCCCTTTTCTTCTCTCTTCCCTCTACTCTCCCTTTTCTTCTCTCTTCCCTCTACTCTCCCTTTTCTTCTCTCTTCCCTCTACTCTCCCTTTTCTTCTCTCTTCCCTCTACTCTCCCTTTTCTTCCCTCTACTCTCCCCTCTCCCTTTTCTTCTCCCCTCGACTCTCTTCCCTCGACTCTCTTCCCTCGACTCTCTTCCCTCGACTCTCTTCCCTCGACTCTCTTCCCTCGACTCTCTTCCCTCGACTCTCTTCCCTCGACTCTCCGCTCTTCCAGCATAGGAGCAGCCTGCTTTCTTGTTGTAAAGGTTTCCTAACCTGCAGTGGCTAAGTGCCTCTGCGTTCTGTGTACTTACTCCATGGGCTTCCATTAATTTTGATTGGAGGTGATTTTTCTGTAAGTGTGTAGGGGACTGGTGATGTAATGGGATACAGACAAAGTCACTGACTATGGGACTATTTCAGTTCTTTTACTTAACACTGTGCTCAGATATTTAGCAGAACACATGCCTTCTATCTAATGGTAGTTTATTATGACACTCATTTAATCCTGGTTGACTTAAATATATCTTTCCATTTTCAGAATGGGATTGGCCATTTCTCTGGTGGCATCGGAAAAAGAGAAGGTAAGAAGTTTGTTAAAGGAATGATGATGTGCTGTAATGGTTTCATGTTTCTACAGGGGATCCCGTGTGTATTTCTTTTATAAACTCTTCTATAGAAACAAAGGGGCAGCAAAGAGGTGGAAAGAATGGTCTTACATTTAAGAGGGTTTTTTATTGGAGTGCCTGTTACAAAATTTTAGTTCAGCATTTTGTATTACATCAGTAATTAGTACCGGAAGTAAGTTATGTCATGTTTATTTTGCCTGCTAATATTTAAAGGAGGCCTCTACGGAAGAATGTGGAAGCTGCCATTGCTGACCCCTCCCCCTTTGACATTTTTTTTTTGCCTGGCTGTGCTGCTAATCCTATGTCTTCAATACTTTGAGGCACTGACCCTGGACTAAGTATGGAGATTGGGAGTTCTGACTTCACGCTGACAATTTTTAATCTGCATGCTTGTTCCAGGGCAGTGACTCCTAAAATATAACCGTCCGGCAACTAGCGGTCATAAGAGTTTGACAATGGTGGCCCCCATCTTCCTCTTATTGCAGGTTTCAGTTATATAAACACTTCTTAAGAGCCATTTTCCTCTCCTATTATATGATTACATATTGTCAGGATACAATAAACCTGTTAGACTTTCCTAAAGATGCATCTATGTGTCAGCATTATGTTATTCCTAAAGATCAATTTCTGCCTCGCCTTCAGATTTACATTATTGGAGACCAGAGAGTCGGACAATCTAGTCAGGAGCATTACACACAAATTGTGACGGTTCCGGGAGCATAATTTAGTCTTTATCTGAATGCTGAATTCATAGAAATCAAGGGATTTGGTTCAGATTGACTATTCGCGCTCGGTAAAAATTGATACATTTTACAGTAAAGTAAAAGCAAAACCTATAGAAAGGAAATCCATTTGTCCCTGTAAGCACATCATCGGCACTGCCTTCGGAGACCTGCCTATGCCCCCTTTCCTCTGGGTGCATGGTTTAATCCATCCTCGATTAGCTGTTTGGACATCTTCATTGTGGCGTTATCACTTACCACCTTCTTCTTCTGGCCATAGGTTTGGTATCATGTGTGCAGCAGTCGTGGTAAGGGATGTTATAATACCAGGCTGAAGGATGATGGCGGCTGTACCATATGGTACAATGAGATGCAGGTATGTTCCTTTCTGAAATATATTTTGATTCTACTACATCTCCAGTCATTTTTTGGGCAGATCATACATACAGCCTCAATGTGTAAAGAGGAAGTCTCACCTTGTATTTTTTAACTAAAGTTTGGGTGTACGCGTTTCAATTTTTTTTTCATTCAACCCACGGGCGAAATGAAGAAAATAGAACAGATTCCTCTAGTAACACTTACGAGCGTTGATCGAGGAATCTCCTGCTGTTTACATTGTATTCTGACATCAGCCACCGAATACCCGAACAGAGTAACCAGCTTATTGGACGCTCGCTCTGTTCGGCTGAGAATTTTCGACATGCTCCTTCGATCAGCTGACCAAGGGATGCCGGTTGAAAAAGTGCTGACTAGGGATGAACCAATACCAATATTTCGCTATCGAGTACCAATATTTTTTTTTTGCCGTTACCGTACCGAGTACCGTAAGTCCCATTCAGAAAGCCAGGCGGCGCATAAAGACTTGCCACCTGGATTCCCGATTAGCAAGGGAAGCTGTCCCCATGCACTAGTTGATGAGAAAGCATGGAACCGGCTTCCCGGCCAATCAGAAAGCCGGGCGCCGCGTCGTTACACGGCGCCCGGCTTCCTGATTTGGCCAGCTTCACGACCAATCAGGAAGCCGGGCAGCGTGTAAGGACGCACTGCCCGGCTTCCTGATACCGGAAGTACCGGGCTAGGCATTGGAGCATTTGGGCGAGTACTCGGCCAATTACTCGGCATCGGCACCGGTACTAGTATCGGTGCATCCCTTAACTGCCACAGTGTAAATTGTGGGTTTTTAAAAAATCCCATGCTTCTGTGTGCAGCAGAAGCTGAGATCGAGACAGTGACCGCATGATTCCCACCATCCCCATTCCTGACCACAATTTGCAAAGTAGACATACTTAATGATTCACAGGTCTTATCTCACTATCTCTGCACTTTCCCAACACAAAACATGGCTCCCCTTCCAGTTCAGCCTGTGCTGATTCCTGTGGCGAGAGCACACCCCCCACCCTCCTCCCTCTGCAATTCTGTGACATCGCTTGTGTCTGGAAAGTGCAGGGAGAGTGAGATAAGAGCTGTCAATCAAGAAGCTATCTCCTTTGCAGAGTGTGGTCAGGAATGGGGGAAGAAGGGGGGACATGCACTGTCACTTGATTGCTGTCAATCTAGATCTTGGCTTCTGCTGCGCACAGAAGTTTGGGATAAAGAGAATTGTATACTGTGTAATTAGGTGACTGAGGTGGGAAACTTCTGTAATGAGACCTTCAGCTTTATGGATTGAGCCTGGTATACACACTTCGAATTTTGGCTGGTTGTTGATGAACCAGACAAAATTCAATGCGTGGGTGTCGCTGTTGGCACCTTTCCGACCGGCATCCCTCGATCAGCTGATCCAACATGTCAGATAGTTGTTGGCCGAACAGAGCGAGCAGCCAATAAGCGGGTAACTTTGTCTGGGCATTCTGATAGCGGCCGGCTGCAAACAGCAGGAGATTCCTCGATCAAGGCTTGTAAGTAGGGATGCACCGATACCGGTATTTTGGTACGAATACCGATAATTCTTTTCCGGTACTCGCCAATACCAATTACCGAGTAACAGAAGTCCCATTCAGGAAGCCAGGTGGCGGCGTGTAATGACTCGCCACCTGGCTTCCTGATTAGCCGGAAAGCCGGGCAGCGTGTAAAGACTCGCCACCCGGCTTCCCGATTAACAAGAATGTCTGAGGCCTCTCCAGCCAGAACACGGCCTTCCTCCGGTACCGCCGGAGCTGTCTGGCCGGCCAATTAGGAAGCCGGGCACCATTTAATGATGCGAAGCCCTGCTT